TCTCTCTCTCTCTCTCTCTCTCTCTTTCCACTCTCTCTGAAAAGCAGTGGAAAAAATATCCTCGGGTGAGGATTAAAAAAACAAACAGAAATGGCAGGTTGTGCTGGTGAGTTCCCCTGAACTATACTTGTAAGGCTTGTTTTTAAATGCAAAGATTCCTTTTAAGTGGTTTTTCTCAAACTTCTGTGCATTTAAGAACAATCTGGAGAACTGGTTAAAAACAGATTACTGGGCCTCAACCCCAGAGATTCTGATTCAGTAGGTCTGGGGTGGGACCTGAGAATTGGCATTTTTCCAGGTGATGCACAGCCCACACTTTGCGTAGCACTGTCTTTTTTTGTTGTTGTTTTTTAAATATATTTTTATTGATTTTGGAGAGAGAGGAAGGGGGGAGAAAGAGAGGTAGAAACATCGATGAGAGAGAGACATCGATCAGCTGCCTCTTGCACACCCCCTACTGGGGATCAGCCCGCAACCCGGGCATGTGCCCTCACCAGGAATTGAGCCAGCGACCACTTGGTGCATGGGACGATGCTCAATCCACTGAGCCACACTGCGGGACAGGGAGCGCTGTCTTAATGGACACAGTGTTAGGAGTTTGCTTCATGTCATTATTTTAGACTTGTCAATTTAGCTTTTTATCTTCAGAATTTCATTAAAATGTCCAGGAAGCAGTTTTCTTGAAATAGTATAATTTTAAACATTGCTTTTTATATGGTATCAAAGATTGTGATCTGTTCAGTCAGTCATTTTTTTAAAAAACCCTTCATTGAATACCTACTGTGTACTAGATGCAGGAAATACAAAAATGAGTAAAAGGATTATCCTTGTGAAAAATTTCTAGGTAGTGCAGAGTTGGGATATCCTGCCTGCATTTAATGGGGACTTAAAATAATTAGAATGACATCAATGAAGAGAAGGTATATGAAACACTGGGTACCTTGTTACCATTTCTTTTCTGCTATCTTCTTTTTTTTCTTTCATTATTTATGAAGCTGACTTGTGTTTTGAGTTTAAAAACAGGTGGACCAGAAATAAGTGTTTTGTGTTGTTTTTGTTTTGTTTACCATTCTAAGCATCTGTGACCAATGTAAATAGCAGGATCTCAGCTACATGACACTGTACAAGGTCCTATAGAATGGACCTCAGAGACTTAATTTGAACAAGATGGACATACACAGGTGTAAGGCAGGCACTGATATTACAGTTAAATACAGGTGTCCCAAAAACATGTATATACACTTTAACAGCTGATAGCTTAATTGATGTCTTTCTTTTCAGCCAGACTAAGCTTTGAACAAAGGAAATTCATCCTAAAATGCTATTGGAAATTTGAAAATGCAGTTGAAGTACAAACACTGCCTTTATAATTATTCACAGGGTGTCCCCCCCAAAAAATGTATATACACTTTAACAGCTGATAACTCACTTAATTTTCACTCCTTTTCAGGTTTAACTGATTTGAAATAATGAGTAAAGCCAGACTAAGCTTTGAACAAAGAAAATTTATCCACTAGACTTTTTATGGGCATACATAAAAGGTAAAGTTTACAGTATAAAACTGGCAACAATTGCCAAATTGAGGGCGCACAAATACCAAACAAAATGATTCTTGATGTTTGCAACTCCATTGCTTTGAGTTATCAGCAATGCCTAGACCAGAACTGTCATCAGTTTGAAAACAGGCATTGACCAAAAAAAGTATCCATTTCTGTAGATTCTTTTAAATTTTGAAAATGAACTGTATGTTAATAAACACTGCCTTTATAATCATTCAAAGTGTGTATACATTTTGGGGGGACACCCTATACATACAAAGGGGAATATTAAGACTAAATGATATGCACTTATATCAAACAAAGCATTCTGATCAGAGGTGGTCTAGTAGGATCTAAAATGGTAATTACGTTTTCCCTGGGGTAAAGATTGGAGAAGGAAGAGACAGGACAAACACTACATTTGTGAAGTGCCTAGAGGACACGTCGTCCCTGAGTGATTTTTCCGTCATATTCCTTATCCCAGGCAGAGGAACAGACTCCATTCTTAACCTCTCTCTTTCCCTTCCAGTGACTGCCGCATGACATGGGTCTCTGCCCAGGGTCGTAATGAGACGATAGCAAGGCGGCTATGGGACGTCAGCTGTGACCTGGTGGGCATCCCCATGGATTGACAAGCGGTGGCAGTTGGACCCAAGAGAAGTGTGCAGCAGACTACTCAGTACTCCCTGCCAAAATGATCTTCCTCCAGGGTGGCCAAAATCTTGAGCACAAAGAGAGCAAACCTTCCAGCCTTGCCAACTTGATGTCTGATAAAAGCCCAATGTGCACTGCCAAATTCATCGAAACGCCTTACATTTGTCTAGATTTACTTTGCTCCTGTTATTGCCATTTACTAGAGATATCATAGGATAAGTAGCCCTCATGACCTGCAAGCTCATATTTTCCTCTGAAACCTACTGCCTAGGAGAACCTGGGCTATGGCAGGGCTGATTTGTGGCAGTTTGGACTAGTTTCTACCCTCTTTGTTCACAGTGTAGTTCATCCCAACCAACCAACCTTTACTTCAAGAGGGCCACGCTGCAGCCTCAGCTGAACCCCAGGGGTCACAGTGGCTTGGCTCAAGAGCAGGGCTTGTCCCTCACCTCTTTTTTTTTTAATCCTCACCTGGATATTTTTTTCCATTGCTTTTCAGAGAGAGTGGAAAGGAGGGAGGGAGGAAGGGAGAGAAGGGGGGAGAGAGAGAGAGAGAGAGAAACATTGATTGGTTGCCTCCTGCTCACCCACTGACCTGGGCCAGGGATGGAGCCTGCAACTGAGGTACATGCCCTTGGCCAGAATCGAACCCGGGACCCTTCAGTCCACGGTCCGACGCTCTAATCACTGAGCCAGACTGGCTAGAGCTGTCCCTCACCTCTTAAGAAAACCATCATGGTGCCAACATCTGGATTCTTCTTTGAGGAAATTGAACTGAATCTGGATGGTGGCATGGCTCTATCTCTGACAACCTAAAGCCACTGCTAAGACATTTTCCCATGCCTAGACCATGGAAGAGCATCCTTTTATAAGAAGTTTGTAGGTTTTGGAGGATGGCAGAAATAGGAGGGAAGGCAGAAATACAAGTGGAGTTTAAACTCTTGATTTTCCTGCTATTTCTCCAACCAGCAAGGAGGTCATGAAAGGAGCAGTTTGAGAAGGTAGGCCTCCTGATTTCAGTTACTGACCCCAGACCCATGGAGGCCTCCTTTTTGTGCTGTAGTTTCTCTTAGAAAACCAGAAGGCGGGAAAGGCTTTTTGATGGTTGTTACTGAGTATATGTGTTCCTGTGTATTTTTGTATTAGGGAGTGTTTTCACAAAATTCAAAATAGCCCCAAAGGAACAGTATTAAACTGGACCCTGATACAGGTAAATGATCAGAGAAGGAGCAAGCCAGTGTCATCCAGTCTTTGGTACAAATGAGTAAAGCTGCAAGGGGAAGCAGACTCTGTTTATGTTGATAACTACCCATCAAGAACACAAGAAATTCAAAGATGATAAGCCTGGAAGATAATAAAGGGACTAGTTAAGGATTAAAAAAAAAAAGCTGAAGATGGTAATATCCAGCTATAGAAGAGCTAGGGTGAGCACCTCAGTTAGCAAGACTGAGGGCACTACCTTATGCTCTAGTCAATGTGGCAGAAAAAAAACCCCTCAATTCCTTATTTAGCAAAATTATCTTACAGACTGATACTGGTAGTTATAGTCAATTTAATAATCTTATGGTATTTCCTTACATTATCTTGACAAGATTAAAATATCTATTTGCTTAAAAAATCTACATTTTATTTGGAGAACTTTTTAAAAAATGTTTTTATTGATTTTTTTAGACAGAGGAAGGGAGAGAGAGAGACATCGATGTGAGAGAAACATCGATCAGCTGCCTCCACCACTTGCACAGATCCCAACCTAGGATCAAACCCACAACCTGGGCATGTGCCCTGACCAGGAATTGACCAGCGACGTTTTGGTGCATGGGACAGTGCTCAACCAACAGAGCCACCCCAGCCAAGGCTTATTTGGAGAACTTTTATCAAAAGTAATGTTCCCAAAGGAAGTATGAGACATTGCTGTTTCCATCACTTGTTTACAGTATGTTATTTTAATAGAGTTTGTGATTTTCTTGGACCAACAGTTATATGTTCACTTTAATGGGGAAAAGTTATAAGATCACAGTTTTCTCACATTTGTAAATTAATCTTTGTTGAAACTGCATATTTAGAAGTGGCCATTTTATGGAAAAATTGGAAAACTTTTGATCATAGTGCAGTGGAATAACTGAATTAATATTTAATTTATATTGAACTGTTAATGGCAAATAAAAATTTTTGATTATTGTGTTTTAATTTACTGGAATAAAAACTATGAGAATTAAAGGAACGTTTAATTAGAGTCAAAAGAAGAAAACACATTATTATGGTTATGCAACCATTTCAAATTCCAAGGATAATTTGTCCCAGAGTTTTACTACAGTATAGTCTCAATTGAAATACCATTAACTTCAGCTGTGTGGTAATTTCATTACTCATTCACCCATTTCCTACTTCTCTTGTGATGCTGTTCAAAGATTACTTGTTCCACCGCAGGTTATTTCTCCTTTTTTACTTGCCCCTTCTATAACAGTGCTATGGGACACTGCCACTAACAATTGCAGACTTTGCTCTCTCGCTGATTAATATTAGGAACTCAACAAGTTTCTTCAATCAATAGTTAATGAGCTCAATCTAATAAGGGTCCAGGAGATATAAACCACCAAATCATTCCCTCCTGATGAGTCACATCTTTTAACAGGTGTGGTCAGTTTTAAGTATTGGGCTGCCAAGCAAAAATTTAGAACAGCTTCATAAGCAAACCACGAAATCGGTGAAAATAGGAATTCCCTTCCACTGAATCATGAAAACCCATGGAATGCAGGAAAGGACTCTGTTATTGTTAACACATTACACTTAGTGGGAGTGAGACTTGAAACCGGGTCCCCCTTGCTCACCGTTATAAATTGCCCAAACGCAGACAGTGAATCTTTTAATCACTAACATACGTAAGCCCCGACCCCTGCACAGCGACCGTGTTTAACATTAACATCTGCTGAGTGTATATTTTTGGGGATCACACTGCCTGAGGACCACTTCTGAACGCAGGTGACCCGGTTGCTTGACCTACCCAGAAAAAGTGCTTTATCGCTGGAGGGCAGGCAGGAACCTGGCGAGACTACCTTTCAAGGGACGAAAACTACCATTATGTCAGGACGTGAACGAAGTTAGTCGGGGTCCAAAAAGTGCGATGACAATGAAGACGACGTCCATGCGCACCCTGATACCAAATCAACACAGCGTCAACCCCGGCGGCCACTGGGCTGGCTGAACCGCCGCGCCACTGTACGCGTGACCTCCGGGTAGGAGCGCCTTCCCAGCCGAACTACAGCCCCCGGCATGCACTGCAGCGCACGCATTACGCCGGGAGGCGGGGCCCTGGAGAGAGGCGGCCACGCTGCCCGTCCCGCGGGTCCCCACCGCCCCTTCGGCTGTGGCGCTCTCCCCAAGCCAGCACTGGATATTTCCAGAGCTCCGGGGCTGCCGCTACCCCGGGCATGCCGCGGCTCTCACAGGGGTCTCCCGGGCAGCGCAGCCCGCCCGACTTTCCGTCAGGCTTTCGCGCCCGGCGCTCCCTCAGTGTTGGCATGAAGGGGACGGGCGTTCCGGCTCAGGAGGACCCCGCCGCGGCCCGGGAAGCGCCTAGTCCAGCGTCGCGGTGGCTGTAGTCGCCGTGATGTCTGTGGGGCTGGGCGGCTGACCGCCGGGGTAGGAGCGGGCCCCAGGCTCCGAATCTCGGCGGCCGCTGCTCGAGCGCGGCCTGCGCCATGGCCACCTCCGCCGCCTCCTCCGAGCATTTCGAGAAACTGCACGAGATCTTCCGCGGCCTCCATGAAGAGCTACGAGGGGTGCCGGAGCGGCTCCTGGGGACTGGAGGGACAGGTGAGGCGGGGAACTCGGCCCCGCTCGCTGTGGGAGGGAAAGCCCTCACCCTCTCCCCAGACCCGAGCCTTCTTCGCTTCTCTCATCTTCAAACGCGCCCCCGATGGCTGGCTGGGCCCGGCGCCCAGGATCTCCCTGCTGCCACTTGTGCTCGGTGATGGGCGTCGGAGTGTCCTTTCCTTGGGGTTCTTCATCCTCCCATAGCTTTCACATTTTTCTTGTATTTTCGCTCTGGTAAGAATAGCATAGGAGACTAAGTCTGCGGTCCTGTATTTCAGTAGAATTGATTGCTTATGTAGCCGTCTGTGTTTTGTTTTATGCATTTAAATAATTATTCTCAAGAGAGGTCCATAGTTTTCACCAGACTGGCAAAGGATCCGTAGACCAAGAGAGTTAAGAATCCAAAGGAATCATAGCTTTTGGGGTTGGTAAATATCAGTTTGGGGGGGTTAGTCTTTAAATCAGAATTGTGGCTTTTAGGTGTGGTCCTCTTAGGAACTTTCTGCTTAGGCTATTTCCTGCCCCCAGGATTTCAAATGCGCCTGGAGGAGCTAGAGTTGTCTGTTAAATCCGTGGGGAGCACTGTTCTTTGCTCCAGAATGAAATAGATCTTGATGGCAGGTGGATAAGACTGCTTTACTGTTTTTACTTAAGGGTCATAGGAATTGAATGGTGAGAATGAAATTCATACGTTTGTTTAACTTGTATTTATTGGGAGAGGTTACTGTGTTCCAGGCACTACCCTAGATGCTGTTAACATTGCAAATTGCAGTGAAAAAACTTGTAATCTCCGTTTTAGTAGGTTGATGATAATGCATAACTATTAAGACGCTTTGTTAAGGGCAACATGGGCATACTTCATTTTATTGTGGTTTCCTTTTGCCCTTCACAGATGTTGCGTTTTTAACAAATATAAGGCAAGACCTTCCACCTGCAAAAAGATTACAACGGACTTTATTATGCCTGTACCTATAGGAAAATAAAGTAGGGCAAAGGAATAGAGAGAGGGGCACTCTGGTTTTAATTTGGGGGGGAGGGGGTGGCTGTGAAAGCCCTCTTTGAAGAGATGGCATTTGAGCAAAGACCTGAATGAAGTAAGGGAGTAAACCATGCAAAAATCTGGGAGAAGTGAGTGTCAGGAGGATGTACTAGCACTGCAAAGATCCTTAAGCAAAAGTAAGCTTGGTATGTTCTAGGAAGAGCAAGAAGGCCAGTGTGTTGGGGGTGGAGCAAAGGAGATAGTGGTATAGTGGTAGTAGATGAGGCTCAAAGAGGTAGGCAGGGCCAGATCATGTGGGGCCTTGTAGACCATGGTGAAAGATTTGCATCTTTTTTTGAATGAGATGGGATGCAGTTAAAGGATATTGAGCAAGAGAGTGATGGGATCTGATTTACATGGTTGAAAAATACTGTGGGTTTTTTTTCAGCTGGTGCTGAATTAAATTTTGCAATACCCATTTCTGTAAGGCTAAATAATGCATTCTGTTTGGTTGAGTTAGTTGTATCCACCTTTGTCATCTACCCTAACCCTTTTCTCATTTCTGCAAAGAGGACAATCAAAACATTGTGAATTTCTATCCAAGCACAAAATACTCTTAACACAACTTGCTGGTTAACAGACTTGTTTAATGGGTAAGTAAATACAATATACACACATCCCCAGGTTATAACAAGAATTTCAACAACTTTCAGTC